AAAAACACTAAACGGATCAGCGCTAGTATATCTAGCCGAGTCCGAAATCTGTGTTTCCTTCCTGTGGGGTGTATACTGTGAACCTACAGCTGGTCCTGCGTACAGCCTATCTGGATTTCAAGAAATGGGCCAAGGCGGCCGGTCTGCGTGTCAATCATCCTCGCTTCACGGTGTCACAGAAAGAATCGGATGACGCATCCTTGCTTGGCATCGAAGGCAGTTTCAGGAAAAGTTATTTCATTTTGGCTAGCTTCCCGCTGTGCAGCACGAGCCGAGCGCACTGGAGCAGAATTGGACAAGCTGGTGGCGTTGACCACGTGGGCTTACGCGAGTATGCTCAAGCGCATGGGCCAGGCTGGGCTTGTTACGTCTGGCGAGGATGCTGAAGCAATGTATCAGGATGGCGTGGTGCATTTGCGCTCGTACGCACGCTTGCGCAAGCTGAGTGCGCAGATTGCGAGGGGCAAAGTTTGTAATCGTAGCTGCCGGACTATACTGCCGAAGCACCAGCACTTGTGGCATGCTCTTCGTGAAAGCAGAATCACCCGGGTGAACCCCAACGGCTACAATCTGTTGGCTGCTGACAGCTGGGTAGGCAGCATCGGTCGCAGGTCCAGGCTTCTTATCTAGTGCAGTAATAGTTTTATACATTGTAAATACATATTATACAGAATTTAGAAGAAAGTCGTATCACGAAATTCTCTGCGTGCAATGTACCAAGGGCTGCACATCGAAGTACGGTGAGTTTGAGGACAGTTCAACGGTACTTGTGTGTCCTACGCATTCGCTTATTGAAGCTGGAGAAATCCATGGACCAGGATCCCCCGGCAGATGTCAGCATGAGCGAAGACCGCCCGTGGAGTGCACAAAACATCAGCGGGTTTAGGGTTTTGTATATGGTTTGAGCTTAGGGAACCATACCCGCCATACCCTGACCCTGCGAACCCCATAAAAAGTTAGGGTCTGATCGCAGAACTGCGTTCTTGAGCATGATGGAAGCAGGACCCTGGGTTTCATCGATAGAACCGAGGTTTGGGGTTTTGGAGTGATCTTCGGAAGCCAATAGGTTTTTTGCTCGCGATTTATAGTGATGTTCGGATACCATTCTGTAGCAGAGAGAAGATGCCGTTCTGGAGCCTTCGAAATTTACAAATAGCCAACCAAGACAGAAGTCAGCCTCGTCCCCCCTAAACCCTATATAAACCCTATATAAGTCTCACGACAACACATCTGATCCCTCGAATGTCGGACGATGGCTTCGTTTTCGATGCTGGCACTATCGCCAGGGTCTCAGATCAGACCAGAGCAGCGGCCCGCACCTGCATTGGAGAGTGCTTGAAAGTGTAGGTTTTCAGAGTTATTTGAGCTCGCAGGTTCTCTGCTGTAGCGGGGTTTTCTTTCTGCCAGCCATGAGCGGCAGTGGGGTCGAGAAGGAGGATAGCCTGGATATTACCAATATCCATGCTACGTGGGACAGCAGTACGGAGATCCGAGGCAGACTTCGGGACGGCTCTACATTCCATCATCCTAGGAGCGAGAGCAAAACCGACAACAACACGTGCTGCCTCAACAAGGCCATTCTGCTGCCCATTGTAGAGTGAGGAAGGGAAGCTACTGGGTGTAGGCGACTTGAGGGCTGAAATGCAAGCTTGCTACGCAGCCAACAAAAGGATTGACAATCCGGAAGATGCGCAGGCCATCGTTGCGGACTCGTGGCACATAAGAAAGCTGTCGTCGCATATCAAGGCCAAAACCCGACGTGGCGAGGTTTCCACTGAATCTTTCCTTATTGTGGGATTGTGTTGGTTGTTGAGTTTATTTTCTCTCAATCTCTCTGGCTCTCTCTCTCTCTCTCTCTCTCTCTCTCTTTCTCCCTGCTCTGAAAGTATTTCGATGCATCTGTGAACCCGAGGACCCCGAGTTTCAAGAGTTCTGCCTGCTGCTGAGCCTGGGAGTGCAGGCTCCATCGCAATCAAATTCGGACACTGAAATAACAACCCTCAGCCGTGCCAGGATATCGTCGACCTCGGCAACCGAAAGTGCGAGGAGCGCAAAGCCGCCGCACTCGCCGCAGCCGCATCGGCGGCTACTCCAGCCTTTTGGTTATTAAGACTATAAAACTTTGGATTCTAATATGGGGTCGAACGAGTTAAATTGGGTTTTGAGAATGTTTTGAGATCCAGCTAACTAGTGCAAGGAGGATGACGATGCCTACGATCCCAGCTCCTATGGGGCCCCCTCTGCTCCAGAGGATACTCCCATCTCCGATGGCAATGCTTCGAGTGCCCCTGCGAGTGCTCCAGAGGTTATTCCTGGCTCCAATGTGCCCCCAGCGGCGAGTGCTCCAAAGGTTACTCCCGAGCCCAATGTGCTGCGTGCTCGTGCTCCCACGGTTGTTCCAGGTGCAACGTGTGTGAAGATTGAAAACTCCCCACCGGCTCCAGAGGTTCGTCCCACGACTGAGACTGTGAGGACAGTAGCTAGTGCTGGCAAAGCTATCGTGGAGCATAGTAGCTTGGTTGCATGCAAGGCTACACCGCAGCCTTGATTGCACGGACTAAAGTAGATCGTCTTATAGCTCAGGCAACATGACAGCGGAGCAGAAAGCTTTGCTTCAGTCCAGAGCAGCCGAGATCAAAAGCAAGCTTCGAAGGTTGTCCGGTTCCAATTAAAACTTGGATGCTTTGGTGTATCGGGGCTTATAAAATTAAAAGTATCTATGGGTTCTTTATGTGGGATTTAGTGGGACTGTGGCCCTAAGTTTATTTGCTAATGCGGGCTTTGCGGCCGCCCTGCCAGGCTGTCTAGCCGGCTGTCCAGTGGCAGCTCGGAGACCACTTCGGCCGGCTCACGTGAGTCCTTGGACAGTGCACATGCAGGACACCTAAGAATTTCCCTAAGCCCTAAACTCTCAACCCTACAAGATTTCATTCATAAACTCTCATCTTTCGTGTGTGATATTCATGGCATATCTGCGCTAGGACTTGCCTCCAGTACAAAGTCACCCGACAGCGAAGAGACACAGCCTTTCGATATCACGTCAGCACCTCCTGCCCCAGCTGTGGTTGTTGGTGCCGAGCCCCGACTCATCATGTCAGCCGAGAGAGAGCGCGAGATGTACCAGCGCAGAGCGCTCAAGCGAGCTCCGGAGACAATGGTTCTGCCAGGTGCTGGCAGTGATGATCATGTTTCCAGGGGCAGCAAGGGTAATGATGAGGATCATGTCAGTGACCCCAAGGGTGCAGGTGATGGCGAGCATTGTACCGAGAGTGACGACGAGGTTGACAGCTCAGAGACATAAAGTAAGTTTGTCATTTTGCATATATAACATTTCGGTTGGGGCTATATGTCTGGAGATTCGCTAAGCAGTAGCGCCCCGGCGAAGCACCAGGACGTGACCCGAGGTGATCAGTTGTCTTTGAAGAGCAGCCGTAAAGCTGCCATGTCGCAAACAAATTCTTATACTGCTATAGGCAGAATTTAGCAAAAAAAGGCTGGGTTGTCCTCCGATTCTCGATTGAATGCCAGTGCAGCAGAGTTGCCAGAATGCCAGGGATTGTCAATGTGTTCAGTCCTGGGCTCCGCAGGATATCGTGTGTACTGTACAGTCATGGAGCCAATCTCCAAGTTGTGGATTTGCCAGTCTTTTTCCCATGGTGTGGACCATACGAAGCTAGCAGCAAACCCTGCTGAGCACGCCGAAGCTGATCGCTTGCTACGTGAGCTAGAGGACCCATCTACAAAGATTTTGTATTTACCATCGTTCTGGTAATAATATGCAACACATTGCCCTAACCCCTGAACCCTAAGCCCTAAACCCTAAGCCCTAAACCCGAAGCAAGCAATCTATTGGCACAGGGGATGAGCTTCGCTTTTTGGAGGCGTGAAATTGAAAGCCACAACAAGCAGTCTATTGGCATAAGGGATTAGCTTCGCTTATTGGCGGGCCTGCAATGGAAAGCCACAAGAGGCACTCTATTCGCATTGGGGATGAGCTTCGCTTATTAGGGGGTTATATAAAATACAATATATATTTGCAAAATGTTCGCATATAATATATTAACCGCAACGCCAAAAGCATATAGCCTCTTTACTATTTTAGTGAGGTCCTCTGGTGCAGGACATCAATGCTGCTCTTGGCGACAGCACCGCCGAGCCCGCCCCAATCTTGGCCAAGGCTGTGGAACCAAACTTTGCCCAGACCCTTCAGGAATTGCTTGTCTAAACCCTTGACCGGCTTCATAACCTCCACAATTTCTGAAGAGCTTAAATAAAACCCAATAGCATCTCCTTTCCAGGACAGTCCGGCTCCTATGTCGCCGTCTACGTCTCTCGCCACGACGGTGCCGGCTGCTGTCTTGCAAGCAGAACACACGGGTAATACGTAACATATAACATGTGCACATTTTTCATTCGTAGCGATGGAGTCTGTCGAAGACGCACGCCTAGCAAGATGAAGTCAACCTGCATTTAATTGAAAGTGGCGGTGGCGCAGAAATCTATGGACATAGTATGCGCTCACCGGACAGGGGTGGGATGTAACCGGCAGACGGGAAAGCCGTCCCACCCCGACAACAAAATCAAACTGAGGCACGTGGCAACCATCAGAAGGTTGCCAAATCTGGTGGCCACTCAGGCTGTCATGAGAAGGATCATTTCAGCTAGCAAGAGATTTTCCCGGTCAAAGGATGCTTTGTATTCCGTTGTCGGCTATCAAAGCACCAGTCAAACTACAAACCCGAAGTCAGTTTGGAATCGGATTCGGACTTCAAACGTGCAGGATCTTCCTCAGGGGTATTGGCTGAGGCCATCCCTACACAGTTTCGTACCCAGGATGTCAAAACACCTTCATCGAGGTGATATCGGGACATCAAACACAACAACAGCATGAAGGCCGTAAGACCTCCACACTCAAATAGAAAGTGCATCACTCGCGTACTCAGAACACTGCAGGAACGCGGAATCAGGGTCATCAGATCGAACAACTCGTCGTCTGTGCCTCACCCCTCTCTGTAAGACTTGCAGTGGTTGCCAGGTTTCCGTTTGATATTCCAGTCGCCCTCGCCTGACGAGCCTCTGGTCTGCTTGATGCCGCGAAGCTGCAAAGCCAGCCTCTTCTTGAAGCCAGCTGCAAACTCCTCTACCATGTAGTACGCGAATGTGTTCTGCCTTTGTCCTCCTCAAACACATGCTCAAAATGGCCACCCCATCACGACGGATGTGCGGCAATGGCTCAGCTCGATGATCCAGGCGGCCTCGTTTGACGAGCACCTGTTCTGCCTGATGACGCACGTCTGGAAAGCCAGGGACTGTCTTGAAGCCAACCATAAACTCCTCGACCGTGCAGTATGCAAGCGCGTCCTCCAGAGCAGTGCTCAACATGGCAACCTTGTAAAGTGTGCCCTTCGTGCTCATGAGCACCATCACGTCGGGTGAGGGCCAAATCTGAAGGCCCAGCTTGTGCATGGTACACATGGGTTCATGCACCGCATGACCGTAGCCGACAGAAGCACCCCATGGCGGGTGCTGGGGCGCTACAATTTTCCGCGCTCTGCGGCAATTTGGGCCCTAAAATGTGCACACAACCACATACCCACTTACCGAACCAGGCTAGGAACATAGTCAATATAGAGCCCTTCCCAGGCCAGTGCCGACGACCTCCGACGGCACGGCTTGAACGTTGATCCCTACAGCATCCCCAGCTTCGAGAGTGAAGACAACGAACCTTCGGAGGAACCCGAGAAGGCCTTAGAGATAGCCGCCCTAACCTCAGAACCGGAAAATCTAGCCCCAATCTTTTGTAGAGAAAACCTAGCTCGACCGAGGCACAGGCCTTGGCATCATCGCAGCGGTTGTTTGAAACATTGATGGTGGCCACCAGTGATGAAGAAGAGCAATGTGACGACCAAGCGAAGCCTGCCGACCAAGTCGTAGGCACGAAGCTTGCGAAGGTCGAAGAGGACGACGATGACGAGGACGACGATGCATCAAACATTTGAAGAAACTGATTGGGAAGCGGGAGCCGACCAGACAGGACGGGTCACGTGAGATTCAGAATTTCCAAGGTAGCCCAAACTAACCTCTCAACTCCCCGAACTCCAAAGCCCATGAAGGCCAGGAGAAACTCCTCCGGGCGGCGAAGGCCCGCATCGATCGCATGGTTGCCCCCAAGAGCAAGCGCAAAGACCTCGAAGTGCCGGCCTGGGTCAAGCAAGAGCCAGAGCGGTCGAAAGACTGAAATGGCCAAAGTTCTCCAAGCCGAGAATTTCGACAAGGATTTTCGGGGTTATGCTTCCTTCTTGATCTAGAATTTAGATAAGGTTCTAAGTCCAAGATACGGCCAGGAGATATTCATCAAAAAGCTTTGAAATCATCGTGGCGAAGAAGAGCAAGAACAAGCTCCATTTGGACTGTGGCTGGTACAGCGAGCAGGAGATGTACGACGTGCTCAAATGGTCAGAGGAACTTTTCTCTGATATAGGTTATGCACAACCTGCTACTATTGGGAGCTTTTGCTTGCTCTGCGGTCTTGCCTTTGTGCACTGAGGACTCGGGTGAAAGGTGTGTGTGTGTGTGTTCCATTGTCATCATTCATGTGCAGTTTACCAATTCTTGTGCGACAGGAAAAACCAATATGACGGGGTCGAAGGGTACTGCATGGGTGCTGCTTCGAGAATCCTGGAAGACGACGCATCAAAAGAGCTATGAGGAAAGGCACTCGGAGGGCCACGAGGCTTGGATCTTGCAACCAACCTATCGAGAATAGATTTTTATGCTAGTACCGTGTATCATTGCCCTGACGAACCTAGGTGGAGATACGTCGACCCGCATATGAAAGACCTTGCTGGTCTGGACAACATCAGCAAGATGTCTCATCAAAGCAGGGAGAATGGGAGCAAGGCAGCACCGAACCCCGGTCAGCACAAATGGGCCCAGGCCTGGATTCTAAAGCCTTTTCTAAATCAACTCCCGATCGTACACTCGCAATATTCTGTCTGATTGCAGACCGAGACGACCCTGCAGAAGTACAATGCCAGCATGATGCAGAAGATCGGCAACATGAGGGCTTTGATTAAGGAACTGAGCACTCAGTACGACGATGAAGATGTTACGCAGTGGCATGCTCAAAATATTATCATCCGGAGCCCAACCCATTAAACTCTCAAAGCATTCTCCCCCAACAGCCCAGGGCAATCAGCAACCTGCAAAAGGATGTCGCCAATCTGGAGAAGCTGTACGACGAGCTGAGCCAAGGCACCTCGCAATCCAACGGACGAGCTTAGCTTAAAAAGCCGTGTTGCGAGGGATACCGTGTACAATATACTTATGCTGTTGTGACCAGGTTCTACCACCGGGCCGAAACGAAAATGAAGGATGCTACCTCGGTGCTGCTTAGCAGAAGTATCAATCGCACTGATGTAGGCCAATCTAGAAGCCACGTGGAGTTTGTGATCATTGCAACTTAGGGCTTCCCGTGCGGCTTCTACGGAGCAGAAAGTGAGGCCATCGCAGAACAAGTGGGTTTGGCGGATTTTGTAATGTTGTATCATAAGCCCCTGTGTTTGAAAGCCCCAAAGGCCCGAAGCTCGGAAGCCCCAAGCCCTGAAGCAAACTCGCAGGACCGCCAAGAAGTACTACCAGAAGATCTCCCCAGAAGCGGCCGCCAAAGCAAAGGCCAATCCGAAGCCGAAGCCAGATGCAAAGACAAAGCCCAAGAAGGGTAGCAAGAAGTAGGAGAGCTGCTAGATCGTTTCTAGCGTGCAAGCTTTTGGAGTGGCGGGAAAAGCCCTGCTATTTCGATTAGTGGCTGTGCCGTGATGTGCCACCGGCTTGAGAATCCTTGATTATAAACCCCTATGCCATAGAAGCCCTGAACCCCTAACGCTACTTTGTACCGAAAGTACTACGTGCCGAACGCCACTTAGCCGCGGCCAGCCGGACCACTGTGGTTTTTCGCCAAGTTTGCATCCAATTCGGTGCCACTGGGTTTTTGGGGTGCGAAAGTGATGATTCATCAGGGTCCTTATATTTTACAGTGGGGATATGTACAGTAATATACTATGCTTCCGGCCAGGCATCAAGCCAGGCAATGCAGTTCGTGGGCTCCGCGCCGACATTGGCGAAGGGGCCGCGAGCTCGGTGTATGGGGTTTAAGATGTAAGGCTTTTTTAGTATATACAGGAAATCGATAGGTCCTCTTTTTTGGTAATGGATAAGGGCTGGGGGTAGGTTTAGCATTCCTCTAAGGGTCTTATATAATATGTTACAGCCTCTTATATATATATATATATATATATATATATATAATATATATATATATATACATATCTCATATATCTATATATAACATAGAATATAACATGTATATATGGGTTTATATATAGATCGGCTTAAGTAAATTGGCTTGGTCCAGGGTTAGGTGCTTGAGGCTTTGAACGGGTGTGTATTCCTGGCTTAAGTTGGTGGCTTCTCATGTAGTGGGATCACTCGGCGAAATCACGTTCCTGCAGCAAAACTATGCATTCTTCGACACACCGGAGCACTAATTACAAGTTTTGAGGGCTTTGAATGATTTGGGGTTCTGATTATCATGGTGGAGGTTGCGAGCTTCAGGCTTTAAGGGACTCTTGAATGGAGGCCGACTACGCAGAACATGCTTCGCACTTTAAAAATATGTAGGAGGCTCGTCTAGTCGCAGGCTCTGGGGCTGAACCACAAAAGAGTGTTTTATCGACAAGGCACTGAACGAAATCCAGACAAGTTAGTCGTTGTCGATCACTGAAACGTCTACAATATATCCAACTGTTTCTCGAGATTTGGTATGAGCATCACAGAGCATCAGTCGGATGTTGCACGGTCCCCACAACAACGGAGTTTTCTCTTTGTGACTTTCTATGTTTCTATATTCGCCGAGGCAACTTGCTCGTCTGCAGTGCGGGCAGCCAAGAACATAGTCAAAGACATCGGCGAGCAGGCCGCAAGGCAATCAGGTGGTTTGGTTGAACTTTCCCGCTGTTCGGAACGAGACGCAGAGCAGAGCACCGGGCGGCTGTTGGTAGGGAAGCTCCTCAAAGCCCTACCAGTCAAATTGGAAACTGGGGAGCCCGAACGCCTTTTTTGCCTGCACCTATCGGACTGGGCAAGATTCATCTTGAATGCCAACTGTTGGCACATTTTGTGTGGCTTACGCGAACCCGACGAGCAGAGAGAACGTGCAATCTGGACAGAGTTCTGGAACAGGTATCGTGTGTTGGAGCCAGACCACCCGATATTCTCATCTGGCTATGATTTGTGTCGGTGTGCAGCTTTGACTATTCACGGGGACGAGGGCAGGTCCAAGCGACGTGCCCCGATTCTGGTGTGCAGCTACCGTTAAGTTTTGGGACTTGGTACTGTCGCCGCGACGACAACAACCACGAGCCAATTTGCACGACGACAGAAAGTCCTCAAAGGCTATCTGAAAATGACCACAAACTATGTCGGGCACACGTGCGCCAACAGACTCCTTTGCGGGGTTCTTCCCAAGGCTGATTATGGCCCCGATGATGAATACAATCATGTACTCATGTCCGTGTTCGCCGAGCAGGCCGCTCTCATGGCACAGACTGGTGTGCCAGACAGCAAAGGCAACACTTACCGAATGCTTGTTAGGAGATTGGCCATGGTTGCATACATCGGGTTGTTCTTGAGGTCATTCAATAATTCGCAGAAGAAAGCTGTTCTGAAAAAGCCACCGGCGGGGACCTGCCATTTATGCCAGGCGGGACCGTCTCATGTCTCGTTTGAAGATTTTCTTACACGTCGACCAAAGTGGTTGGCAACGGTCTTCACACAGAGCCCTTTTTATACTTTGCCGGATCTGGCAGTCATCCCTCATTGCCAAAACAAGTTGGAAGGAATGTGGACCTTCGACATCTTTCATTGTTGGAACCTGGGCCTGGGTAAGAATTACCTGAGATCGATCTTGGCGATGATGGCACAGCGTGAAGACTGCGGCTCCTGTACGCCAACGACGCGTGGCTGGATAGTGCTGTCGCTGAACGTGTGGCAGAGTTGGGGCTAAAGTTTTTGAGGAGGTATGTGCAAGCAGCTGCCAAGGCCCATGAGCACGGGCTGGCACTGTTCGTTATCATGCCAAACGGGCATGCAAGCAAGTCAGCATATTATGATTGAACTCCTCCAGTCTTCCAAGGCATCAGCATTCAGGCCGAAGAAGATTTTATTGGCAGACCCAGTCGTTTGTCGAGACGGACACCAGCGCCGACGGGAGTGGAACGTGTCAACCAGCTCTATTTGCAGTCCGCATACCGACATTGGGTTAAAGCCGGGTACATTGTGGAAGCTCAGTGACTCGCGACCCTGCATCCAGAGCATTGAAAATCGGCTTCAGTCCTCGCATTTAAAACCCGAGCCCATTAGGCTTGCAAGGTCTTTCGCATCAAGAGCATTTCTTTCAAACCATCTTTTGCATTATA